GCTGGCGGATAATATCATTATCCATAATACTGTCCCTCAGGCCATTTTCACACTTGCCATGCCACCTATGCTTTGCAGTTTTAGGAATAAAAATTGTATCTGCCCCAGAGAAATTTTTATGTCTCTCCCAAAAGAATATACCCAAGAATTTTCATTCTTCCTCTTCCCCTCCTCCTCTTCCTCCTGCTGCTACTTCTTTTTCTCCTTTAGAACTCACTCATTGGAAACGACCCTGATGCTGGGAAAGACTGAAGGCAGGAGAAGAGGATGACAGAGGATGAGACGATTGGATGGCATCACTGACTCAATGGACATGAGTTTGAGTAAACTCCAGGAGTTGACGATGCACAGGGAAGCCTGGCATGCTGCAGTCCGTGGAGTCAAAAAGAGTCAGACACGGCTGAGTGACTGAACTGAAGACTTGTAATTGTTTAGATGTTTTCTATCCCTCCACTGTTTTTTGATTCTAGGGGTTCTTCCTGAATTTACATTACGCAAATTCAATACTGTATTTTTCTAATATTATTGAGAACTAATCAATATTCTTTATTATGTCCCTGAACAACTTAATGCTTTTATACCTGTCTTTTCTCTTTCTCCCACACAACCTCCCATATTGAGATCATGTGAGATTTTAATGTATTATAACGGCACCACAATTTTTAAAAATAATAGTTGCTTATGTAAACTTATGTATAAATTTTGCTGGTTTCTTTGCTCACTGCCACTTCTTTTATCTCACACATTCCTCTTAAATTCATTTTTCATTTTGCTGAAGTCCATCTTCTAGTCTTTTTGTTTGTTTGTTTGTTTTTCAGAAAAAAAATTTGGGAATAGTAAATTTTTTTATTTTTTGTACTTTTTTTCCTTTTCACTTGATAGTGTTTTAGGTATAGAATACTATGGTGCCTAATCATACCCCTGAGAATTTTGAAGATATTGGTTCTTTATCTTCTTTCTTTCAATTCCACCAACGAGAAGTCTAATTTCTCTCAAAATCTCTTATTTTTATGGACCATCTGCTTTTACTTGTTCCTGATGCTCTCAAATTTTACTTTGGTTCTGCTGTATATAGATGGTTTTGCATATGTCTCACTACATCGTTCCTTTTAAGCTATTGTTTAGTCCCTTTCAGCAGTTCTGCTCACTTTTATTCTCTCTCTCTTTTGATATGTCTTTGTTTTTGCTCTATTTGCTCATTCTTCCCAGAACACCTAACAAATGAGCACTAGGACTTCTGGGATCTTTCCAAGCCACTGAACTTCTATTTCACATATTCATTTACTGTCTTTCTGAAACTAGCTTCATGAAAGAGAAAATAGATTTCACATATCCAGACAACCAAATGGCATGATCCACTGTGTCAGTGTATCAGGACATTGTGCATCAGGAACTGATTTTTCCTGACCGTCCTCCTGTGCAGCCTAAGCCCACACACAGTGATTGCTTTGCCCTTTCTTCATTTTGTCCGGGTCTTTTATACTCCTGGGTATTGGCATCGCCAGAGCCAGTGAAAGTCGCTCAGTCGTGTCTGATTCTTTGTGACTCCTCGGACTATACAGTCCATGGAATTCTCCAGGCCAGAATATTGGAGTGGGTAGCCTTTCCCTTCTCCAGGGTATCTTCCCAACCCAGGGATCGAAGCAGGTCTCCCGTAATTGCAGGTGGATTCTTTACCAGCTGAGCCACAAGAGAAGCAGGTACTGGCACAGCAGGTTCCTCCCTGGCTCATAAACGCCTCATGTCCAGGCCTGAGTGACTTCACTGCACTCTGCACACACAGCTTGGGAGAGACCTATTTGTCATCCATTGATAACATCCATGTGAAAAGTCATATTCCTGAAGGATGCTTAATTTATCTGACAAGCCCTGGGATTATGACAAATAACTCAGAAGAGAACCGGTCAGGGGATGGGCCCTTGAGCACAGGCTGGACCTGGCCCTTCTAGGGTTCATATCACAGGTACCAGCCTCTCGGCTTGCATCTTCAGCTCAGCTCAGCTTCCCTCTGTCTAAACAACCCCTCTGCACACTCTACCTCACTGTTAAAGAGCCTTACAGCTCCTCCACGTCGATTCTTCCCTGCTTTTCTCATGGATCTCAGAGCACATTCTAGAACAATCTCTGACATGAGTGCTTTTAACCCCAGTTTACAAGCTTGAACTCCCATAGGAACATGGGATTCACTCTCTCTTCAAGTGCAGCCCATCTTTTGGCTCACCAAGAGCTGACCCAAGAAACCCAAGAGCAACTACAGACCCTTCCCAAGGTTAGCATTCCCTGGGGCTTCCACATCCTTCTCCATGGCATCAAACTCTGGGACTGAGGCTGAGTCACTCTTTTCTCCGCTCCCAAATCTACATCTGCAAGCCCTGGGACTCCTACCACTATACCCAATCCAAAACCCACCCATCCTCTGCATCTTTGCTGCCGACACTCCAACCCCAGTCACACTAACCTCTTGCTTAGACTAGGGCAAGGACCAAGCAGGACTCTAGAGCCTGCAGAGTGATATTAATGTGTCATGACTCATTTAAAGATCAGAATAACTCTGATACTTTCATCTCCATCTGTTTAACTTGCTTATATACCTCTCAGCTATTTTCAAATTTGGATGATGAAAAGGGATGTTTTTCACTTACTTACTCAAATGCCCACACATTCTATGATAGAATATAATTCTACCATATGCATACTTCTAACACACATAGAAGAATATATGCACATATTTATTTTATTTTTATATATTTATTTTAATTTATAGATTCCATGTAAAATATATTTTTAACTTGAACATATAGAGATTGATGTGTGCATGTTTAGTTGCTGAGTCATGTCTGACTCTCTGTGACCTCATGGGTCACAGAGAGTGACCTATGGGCTTATTCTGGCAAGAATACTGCAGTGGGTTGCCGTTTCTTCCTCCAGGGGATTTTCCTGACCCAGGTGTCGAACCTGTGTCTCCTGTAACTCCTGCATTGGCAGGAGAATTTTTTAACCACTGAGGCATCTGGGAAGCCCATAGAGATGAACACATATTTGCAATTTGTTGATCTTGCTAGATAACTCTCTCCCATCTTACCTTCTCCTCCAGGTACTGAGTCACAGAGGCAGCAAACCACAGCTATGCCTTTAGATCCTGCCTGGTTGCTGAGATCTGCCGCTCACTCCACCCACAGGTATTTGAGTATCATCTGTCGCTTCTCCTTTGGGCAGGATGTTCTGCCTGTTGAGATGGGCTCTCTGGGGTCTGCATGTGTTCTGGGGGACTCAGAGCCTACTGGGATGGGAGGGCAGGGTTTATCCTAGTCCTTGGCCTCTTGTAGTATCCTCCCAAACCACAGCATAGGACAGGAGAGATGGCTCTCACTCAGGACATTGCACCTACAGACACAATGACTTAGTGTGGTTGCTTCAAAACATATCCAAGAGTTTCTGCTCATTGGCACCTCTATCCCCAGGAGCTGCTCCCATCAAGACAGGCTGTCAAAGACGGCTTTCAGTAGGACTGCTATAGAAGGAAGTCACTGAGCTTGGAATTGGGGTATAAACCAAGGAAACCAATTGCCTAGAACCCCCAGCCCACTCTGCTTCCCTCAGCATGTCTGCCATTAGAAGATGAGGAGAAAGCATCAGTCTTCAGCATACTTCTCTGTATTCTTCACACAGGAGACTCTGGGTGGGACTCAAACAAAACTGGAGGCTGGGAGTGGAGCTGGGAAAATGTCATGATGTGGGGTGAGGGAAAGGACCCGACTTTCTATTGAGTTTATAGATATTACAATGATTACTGAGACTCCAAAAGCATTCACCTTCAGTTCCCAACCAGCTGTCTTAATTAAAATGCTGCTAAAAGAAGCAAATCAATTATCAGATACCTTACAAGATGGTTTATTCTATCTAACACACAGAAAATTGCTTATGAGTATCGCATTGCCACTTTAGGTTATCAGTTAACCAAGGCTGCTAATGAACTACGTTGTTATCAAGTCAGATAAAAGATGCCGGGGGAGTTCAGGCAAATTATTACAACACAGCACTTTGTTTTGAAATATAACTCATCTTTTACCACACACAAGGTGAGCAACCTAATCTAAGGAGAACCAATCCATGTAGCCTGCTGGATTTCTATTGAATGAAAAGGCAAAGAGTATTCCTTAATGCAGCCCAGAAACCCAGGGTTAATATTAAGGGGAGAGAAATGTGAGTGGGGCCTGTGTCATGCAGCCTTGGGTTTATGTCTCTTCCGGTTATGTCCTCCATAAGGTAAGGACATTGTCATAGTTACCACGAAATAATCCTATAAGCATAACAATAATCACTTTCTTTGGTATAGCTCACTACAAGCTGTGGCAGCTGCTTTCTCTTTGCATCCTTTCTGGGTACCGCCATTTGAAAGCTGCAGAGCTGTGGGGCCATTCTACAGCTGTCAGACCCCTTTCTCCCACTCCATCCCAGGCTGCATTTCTTCTTTTGGAAGGTCTCTCAGTCATTTATAGAAATGGAGACTGCCCAAAGATTTTCACGTTTCAGTTCCCTTGAATGTTGACAGATGGATTCTTCTGACAGCTAAGAAGTTGAGGTCAACAGTTCTAGACAAGTCTATTCACCTCTTGGTAGACTGTGGTACTAAAGAAGCTGTGTCTTGAGTCTGGTTCTCATTCCATGAGCCACTTGTTACTGATAGGATCCACAGACACAATGTCATCATGAAGCATGAACAACTCTGACACTGGAAACCAGGATAGGCAGTGAGCATGTATTGACTTCCAAACTTTCTTACTGCTGGAAAGAGTACTCTTATATCCCTTTATGCAGTCAGCTTTTTGCAGAAGAGAAACACTATTTTCTTTCAGGACAGAGGCACTGTAGACTCTATAAGTTTATTTGCTCCATATTTTGAGTTCCATGTAAAGGTCCATCACCAGCTTTGGATGCTCAAATTCAAGCTGTCTCCAATGAGTAGCTGTCCAAAGTGCCCTCCTGAAGATGCTGCTCACTCAGAGCTCAATCACTTGTGCATTTCTGGAAAGAAAAAGAGCCATCTTGAAGATTCATTAATACCCAGACCTGAGCTAGGTGCCAAAAGAAAGAGAAAGAGAATTTTGGAGACTCTAGGATTATAGTGGCTGCCTAAATCCAATTTTCCACCACATCCTCCAAAACCATACAGATCAACAAGGAGAGAAGCAAAAAACTAAAGTAGTAACAAAGGTGCCTCTATGTCCTCGTTCTCCTTGGACCATCCCAGAGAATGTCTCCTGAGGATAAGTTAATGCCTGCTAATGCTGAAAAAAGTCTTTTAACAAAATTCCACACAAATTCCTGAAAAAAAAAAAAAGACTCAATAAAATAGGAACTGGTGGGTTTCCTTAAGGTGATAAAACATGTGTACTTTAGCCCTAAATCTAACATCTTACTTAATGAAAACCACTAGAGAATTTCCCACAAAGGTCAGGCAAAAGAAAAATCTACTCACTGTTTCCACTATTATTTAACACTGGTGATTTTAGCCAATGCAATCAGAGAGGAGAAAACAATTAGAGGCTTATTGGAAGAGAAGATCTACAATTTGGCAGAAGACATAATATGATGAAAACCCAAGGAGATCAAGAATAAAATAAACAAAACAATAAAAGCATTCAATATGTCAGCTGCTATCATGTTAATACCCCAAATCAATGACCAAGTAGGAGACATGATGGGAAATTCCATTTACTAAAGCAACTAAAACATGAAATATTTAGAAGTAAACTTAATAAGAAATGTGAAAAATCCATGAGTAAAATCTGAAAACTCTCCTGAGACACACAAAAGCAGACTTGTAAAAAGTATATATTTGTGTCAGTGAAGGATAATATCCTCAAAAAGTCAACTGTCTTCAATTTAATATGTAAACATAATGCAGCTCCAATAAAAATAGCAAGATGTTTGTTTCTGTAGCTAGATTCTGAAGTTGATTGTAAAGTTTATATGGGAAACAAATACACAGGAATAGCTAGAATGGAATAGCAAGGTGTGTGGGAACCAGCCACTCTGGGTAATACATGAAGTCACCACAAGAAAGAGTGTGATAATAGCACATGAATAATCACAAATACCATTGGAGAATAATATGAAGTCTAGAAATAGTCCAACTATATGTGAAAATTTTGAACATGATAAAGGTGACAAATAAAACACTGGGGAAAATACAGTGATTTTGAAAAATGATATTAAGATAACTAGATTGCCATTTGGGAAAAAGATAAAATTTGATCTATATCTCATACCATGCACCATACCAAATGAATCAGAGATCCAAATAAAAATAAACCCATACAAGAACCAGAATAATATATATGCATATATCAACATTTATCTAATTTTATAAAAATTGTATATATGCCACTCTTTTAATTAAACATTTTTGTAAAAGGAACACAAGGAAGATAAAACAGGAACTGTTGAGATTAATTACCTCAGAGCAGTGGGTGGGAGCAGGGTGGGGTGGACAGGAGAGCAGAACATCTCTAAGTTTACCTATTTACACGTTTCTAGTTTAAAACTGTATCTGTGTTTCACATACTTAAAAAATAAAATTAAACTACAAAGGTTAAGAAATGAACCAAAGACCAGCATATACACTGAAACAAATATCTCTAACTATATATCAAATTGATAGCATAACAACACTGAGAAAATAATTAATTCAACTTGAACACAATACTCTGTGCATATGAAGGGCTAAATTCTAAGAACAAAGAACAGCAAAGAAATTTTTAAATGAGTTTGTAGTTGTACAGTATTGTAATTCTTGAAGTATATATTTTGTCTGTATTATAGGATAGAGCAAATGGATTAAAATATTTATATGGTTTTGAAACAGGGCTTTCACTTTAGAGGAGGCAAAATAGAAATATGGAATGAGGAAATCTTAAGAAGAATGTTATGATGCTGAGTTTTTGATGTATATTGGTAAATACGCATGTGCTGACTGTCCATTGAGAAGGTCTCCAAGTGATGATGCCTCAATAGCCATAAGCACCCATTGTGCTCAGATCTTGGTTTCTAAAAATTGCTCAATGTTAAAGAAAAGAAAGAGGTTGGAGGAGAGGGTAGGAAAACATGGATCTAGGGGAAATGTGTGATTCCAAATCTGAGCAGGAACAGTGTAAGGTGAGCCTGGAACATTGTGTCGTTTCAGAAGTCCATGAAATTCTTAGTGACTACTGGAATCCAGTCTAAAGCCACCAAGAATTGATTTGTACTGATAACTTGGGGGAATTTAAACATCAAAAAGATTCATGGTGGTGATAAATTATAATGCATTGAAGTCCTTAGGAATAATATTCCACAAATAGGAGAGGAATGCCAGCTATTAAACATAGAAGGAATGCTGGAATTAGAAACTCGGTACTTTGTAGCCCTCAATGCAATAACTATTCAAACATGGGTCACAAACAGATGTAAAACCATTGGGTGAAGAATTACTTGGGTCAGGGTGTTCCCACAGTCTCAAAGTCCCACCCCTTAGATTATTTACTCATTGCAAACGAGGGATTTTTCTCTCTACCAGGAGAGATCTAGTTGTCACTTCCTTAGCCAAGCAATTAAAAGCAGTGTCACTAACAGTGAGAGAACCTGGAGTCATGTGACTCCTGATGCAGTGCACTGAAAGAAATGTACCCAATATCACCTCTGCAGTAATCATGACAAAATTCTCAATCTGAATCTTCTCAGGAGGAAACAGACAAATCCAGGAAATAGAACATAATGCAAGAAGCTTAAGTACTTCAAAACTGACAATGCCGTGGGGAGAGAAAGCAACATCGAGAGAAACTAAAAAGGGACAAAATCAAGTACAGTGGCTCCTGGCTTGGAGAAATAGAACTATAAGAGATACCTGGGAAACAGAGAAATTTGAATACAGGCTGTGGAAGAGATGATACTATTGAATTACTACCCATTTCCATTCATTTCTTACCATTCCTGTCATTGTGATTATGCAGGAGATACAAGATGGGTAAATATATCTACACTAGTTTTTAAGTGAATCAGAAAAAATTATGCATGCACAGTTAAAGCAAACAGCGCAAAATATTTTTATTGCACTGTTCTTTCAACATTTCTGTGGCTTTGAAGATTTCTCAAAAAGGACAGTGAGAGCACGTGGGTGGTACATGAGGTGTGGGAAAGCAGGACTAGGGGAAGTGAGTTGTGAACCAACCATTCAGATAAACCTGAAGGAGATGCCTTCCTTCCTGGGAACAGAGCTCCTTTAGCCATAACCTCGGATCCTGTCCCCACTTCTATTCTGAGACTTCACAGCAGCGTCGAAAATCTGACACCTCTGCCAAACTGATGGCTTGATGACACAAAGAAAATTTTGGATTTTTTTTTTTTCCATCAAATGGTTTAAGCTGGCTACAGTTGCCTGGCTTCTGTCAAAGAGAAGGTCTTAGAAAACCAAATCAAATAAGATAAAAATTTAACTGTCTTGCTGCTAAAAATCAGTTTTCTCAGCTCTAATCAGGCAAATGCCCCACAACTTCATTTAAAATCTTGCCAAAGTACTGCCAGATTAGGACTTGCCACAACTGTCCCAAAGAGTTGCTGATCCCTCACCTCACAGCCATCCTGACACCAGGACCTCTGGCCCATGCCTAGCGATCCCCCTCCCATCCTGCAGGGGCCCTGCAGGAGAGCCTCCAGCCTGCACAGGACAGGAAAGGTACTGCCTTTCCTCCTTTCAGTATGAGCCGTCCGTCACTCTTACAACTCACCTTTCAGAGAAATTGAGGTTTAACCTGCAAAACAGGAAGACAGGATGTTTACTAAATCATTCCTAGATGGCCAAAAGCACGGGCAAAATTCTGCTACGGGAGAATGGCTTGAATGTCCGTTGCTTTTCCATTCTCGGGTCTATTGGCTTTCTGACTAAGCCTGACTCCATCTAGTGTCAGTTTTGGAAACTTGAATTGTGTCTTCCCTCTCAATAGAAGAGCTCTGGTGTGATAATGCTGAGAACAGTTCCCTGCACGTGGTGGGGGAAGAGATGCAGGGGAACCCGCGTCCAGCCATTAACTCCCAACCACACACTGCTCCCATCTTTCATCTCTTCCCTGCCTTCCTCTTGCAGCCTTCACACTCCTTCTCCTGTACTTCACTCTCACAATGGTTATTGTTGGATGACTATGGCAGACACCTCTCCTGTGTGATGGAAATTTCCTCCTACAGCTCCAATGTATCAAAATAATTCAGCACATCCAAATGTACAAAAGGGCTTCCTGGTGGCTCAGTGGTCACGAATCCGCCTGCTAACGCAGGAAATGCAGGTTCAATCCCTGGACTAGGAAAAACTCCTGGAGAAGGAAATGACAATCCACTGGAAAATCCCATGGACAAAGGAGCCTGGCAGGCTGTGGTCCATGCGGTCACAAAAGAGTCAGACTCAACTGAGCAGCTAAACAACAACAAATATACCAAACAGATGCTCCTCTGACCTGATCATAGGTAGGAACATGAAACCATAGTAACTGTTCATTCAATGCTCTTGAATTGGTTTGTGATGTACTGTCACTGCAGCATCTTTGCACAGCAGCATCTGTGTGTCAGACGTTCATTATGAGTCATCACAGCCTCTCACATTCCCTCCCCCAGCACGCACATACGCATGTACAAAGGCACCAGGATTAAGAATTCGGTATTATGAAATCTTTCCGTTTTGTGAATCCCATGACTAAAATGTCCCTGAATCAGAGTTTACACCAGTTCTGGGAACTTCCAGGGGGCACTGGAGCTTCCAAAGCACGATGCCTTAACCCAAAGTGTCCCCCGGTGAGTGTGAGCTGTTTGGATGATCAAGACAGCATGGCTCATGGGTGATTGAGAAGATCACTCTGTTAGAACCTCCATCAGCCCACTCGATCATCCTGACACAGGGCCAGAGCTGGCCACTGCAGCCTGCAGCCACACGCCAGGGTGCCTCAGCTACCCAGTAGAGGGCCTCTGAGAGCATGTTGTGAGCAGAGTCTGCCATCACAGGCACAGCTCATCCAACCAAAACTGACCCCATCCTACCCTTCCCACCACAGAGACAAGCTGGGCCCCAAAGGCAATGCAGATTCTGGGTCTGGGGCTCATCTATACATTCCCAGGTCCCCTCACCCCCACCATCAAGAGCTTTAGGTCCTCAGAAATTATTGACAGACACCATAACATCTGAAGGAGGGCAGAACCTCAAGAGAGTGAAAGTATTGAGAAAATCCATTTCCAGCTCATCCCCAGGGAATCCCCCTGACTGCAGCGTACCATACATCCATCTCTCCTTCATCCATAGCTTCACACATTTCTTCAAGAGATGCTACTTTGTACTTACCAAGCCCCAGGTCCCAGGGAAGAACTGGAGGAGAGGACTGTGCTTTGCATCCTTCTAAACGCCCACCAGCCCATCTCAACTCAGATTCTGTCACTCACTGAACATTTCCTCCATGAGGAAGTCTCCAGAAGCCTCAGACTTACCATATTCAAAAAAGGTAGTCACCAACATATCCCACCCCCACCCAGCCCACTGTCCACCCCTGCTCAACTGCCTACTTCCCAAAGGGCACCTCCAGCTAGGACCTCCCCACTCCAACAAATGCTACTGGTTCTTGATTCTGGCCTGCACATTCACCCAGCTCCAACAGACTGGCTGCCTCCTTGGTATCACTCAAATCCTCATTCCAGAGGGCTTTGCAGAAGCTTGTTGCTATCTGAGTGATGAGCATTCCATATGATACAAAACAGCAAGTGCAAAGATCCTGAGTTGGGATTGTCTTTGGAGAACAAGGGCTCTATACAGAAGAGTAATGTGGCTGGGTGGCAGCAGGGAAGCTGGAAACAGAACACATGTAGTTTCCCAACTGGAGCTGAGGACATGAGCATGAGAGTAGGTGATGCACTGGGAGGACTCTGAGCAGGAGATAAGGCAAAAATCTAACCCAACAAGTGCAGAAAAGAGCCCAAGTTTACTTTGACTACTTAATGCCCTGCGGGCTCCCCACTCTCATGACACTTGAGGACTGCCCAAAGGAGGGGAGAGTGAGAGGAGGGAGGCCAGGGCTGCATCCTGGTCCCCTAGGAAGCATTTCAAAGTGGGAAGAGAGGCAAGGATGTCAGGCAAGGGAGAGGGATGGATGAAACAGGAGGGAAAATGAGGAAGACACAAGTTGGTAGTGACCTTACCTTGAAGCTCTCTTCTTTAGTGCAATGGTCTCTAAACAGAGAAAGCAGGCTGTTAGGAAGGGGGCACTGTGATGCTGGTGCACCTCTCTCGGTGCCAGGCCAGCAGGAGGGGGTCAGAGCCCACCAGACTCGGGCGATGCTGAGAGGTTCCTGGGGTTGGGGCCACTGAGGGGGTGGTCTTGGGCTGAGTGCTCTGCCCCCTCCCCATCAGCAGGGTTGAAGCTCCTCTATCCAGTCCCTCACCGAGCCCCCCAGCTCAGCACCCAGGTGAGACTGAGGCTTTCCTAGAAATAGAACCCCTACCCACACGCCCCCCCCCCCCCGCCCCGGGCAGTTGTTCCTCCCCTCCTCTCTCCTTGAGGATCCTGGGCCCCCTCACCCTTGGGAAATCTAGAATGTCTCTTAGCGTGCTGAAGAGGCTATTTTCTCTTTCCTCTTATTCCTAGGGCTACAAAATCAATGGCAAGTCAGGTTGGATGCATGAGACAAGTGCTCGGACCTGGTGCACTGGGAAGACCCAGAGGGATCGGGTGGAGAGGGAGGTGGGAGGGGGGATCGGGATGGGGAATACATGTATATCCATGGCTGATTCATGTCAATGTATGACAAAAACCACTGCAATGTTGTAAAGTAATTAGCCTCCAAGTAATAAAAAATTAAAAAAAATTAAAAAAAAGAAAGCAATCAATGTAAAGAGATAAATGAACAAAAATATAAAGAAATAACTTCAAAAAAACTATAATTGGAAACAACAGTACTAGTACTGTAAATGTGTGAAAATTAAACATGTTTATAGACAATGTAATAGGCATAAAGTAAACTATTAATATTATGTGACTCCATAAAAAAAAAAAGTCTTATTTTGCTTAACTATCACCCTACAGTGTAAGAGTAGTGATGCTGACAATTGAGATCCATCAATCAAAGAAAAGCCATTAATGATTCCTGAAAGTGAAAAGGTAAAAGTTCTCAATATGGTAAGAAAAACAATCGTATGCTGAGGGTGTTAAGATTTATGTTAAGGATATATCTTTCATCTGTGAAATTGTGAAGGAAAAAGAAATTCATGCTGGGTTTGCTGTCACATCTCGAAGTGCAAAAGTTGTGGCCACAGATGGAAAAGGCATAAAGTAGTACAATAAAGTATTTTGAGAGGGTAAGACCACAAAAAAAAAAAAAGAAAAAAATCAATGGCAAGTGAACTATGACCAATTAAGTTCCCTGTGCAGTTGGACGCACTGGAAGCCCCCAAATGCAGTCTCCTCCTTGCCCTGTCTCCTTTTTTTGGTATCTTCACAGATAACAGTCACATTTTCAAAAGACATGGTGAGAGTCCTTCTTCTCTATCCTCTGGAAACTACAGTATCATCCCATTAAGCAGTCATATGGGGGATGGATTTTGCAGGTCCCCCCTTGAGAGACAAGGGGTGCAAATCAATGTTGTATTTTGCTACTGAAACTCCCTGAGTGTTCAGCATCTACCTAAGGACCCAGATCTCCACAGCTGCCGCAGGGTGTGGAGAACCATGCTGGGCGCTCATAAACCCACCTCTGCTTGGGTCATGAGGAGACAACTCCACTTAGTGCAGGGATTGCCCAATTTATGGGGGGAAAAATGCAACTTGACCCAGGTCATCAGTGCCGGCCACACCTCCCGCCACCCACCCATGCCAGGAGCGGCCTCACCACTTCCTGGGATTGATTTCATCTCATCACATCATTTGGGTAAAAGAAAAGAAATTTCAGTCAGAAGCCAACTCAGCTCCCTTCCCCACGTTTCTCCAAGAAAGTTGATTCTTAAGAATATCAAGAATGACTAAATGGAAAAGTACAGAGAGACAGAAGCAGAGAGAGACAGAGACACAGAGAGGTCACTGCATTTCTTTTCAATCCATGTTTTTTATTCTCTCTACAGCCAGTTTTACCCTCAGAGCTTCACACCGGATAACTGGCCAGAATACGTCTTGTCTCAGGAAAGGGCAGAACCAGGGTTGAGCATCACTGTTTCCTTACCGTTGAAGCCCACGTTTGTGCTTCTCAGGTCAGAGGAATCGTTATCAAACATGTGCTTCCTGATCATGCAGAACTTCAGGGCCAGGAACCCGGCCGATATGGCAATGCCCACAGCAGTCCCGATGATGGCATATTTGATATCTGGAGGGCAGGGAGGAATTGAACAAGGGGCTTTAAGCAGTCATCACCCAGCAAAAGTCTTCCACATCTCCTTTTACATTGGAATGAAGTCCAAAGTCAAATACTTGGACCTTTACATTACATAGTCCAACCTGCTGCATGCACATGTGTTCAGTTGCTCAGTTGTGTCCAGCTCTTTTACAGCTCCATGGAAGGTAGCCCACCAGGCTCCTCTGTCCATGGAATTTCCCAGGCAAGAACACTGGAGTGGGTTACCATTTCCTCCTCCAAGGTATCTTCATGACCCAGGGGTTGAACCCACGTCTCTTACATTGACAGGCAGATTCTTTACCACCGAACCACCTGAGAAGTCCCAACCCACTGAGGCCAGCCTAATTTTCTAGTCTCCTGGGAGCATGCTCCTTCCCTACCCCTCCACCCACACTGCATCTCCTCTTCCTGGAACTCCAACCCTGGTCCCTTCAGCTGTGGGGATCATTCCCAAGTGGCTTGTGGCTCCTTTCTCTGTCTTTTTGCAGTCATCCTCACTTATCCCTGCATCAGTTCACCTATGTGTATGCCGATTGCCTGCTCTGGCGAGTGCTGACGACAATTGAATGAGTCCCTGACTCCATCCTAAGGGGCCTGCAGTCAGCAGTGGAAGACAAGAGCTCACTCGAATGCCGAGTGACAAGGTAGGCTGATGTGGAAACTGACAGTCTTCCCAGAGGAGATGACATGGAAGGTGTACCATACCTGGAGAGCTGAACTCTGAGGTGGAGAGAGGCTGGGATGGTGCCAGTGGAGGGAGGCACTGGCCAGGGCAGAGCCTGCTATCTGGGGGCTCACGGCTGCAGTGCAGGGCTGTTCATCTTACAGAGAGTGAGCAGAGGTGGCCCTGATGACTCATGTCCCCTTTGAGGACAGGCTGTCATTCAGTCCCATGCCCCCAGGATAAGGCCATGTTAGCCTCTCAGACAGGTCTGGGGGTGAACACTGCCCTGGTTCCATGATGACTGGGAGGAAACGGGTACCAAGATGCCCCACCTGCCCATGCACTTGGAGTGCCTCCTCCCGCCCGTCAGTCCAGGATCCAGAATCCACTGGGCAGCCACCTACCAGTTTCAGCTCCAGCAGTCTTGCCTGTTGCTAACACTTGAGCGGCCCCAACATCTGCAAAGACAAAAATCCCAAATTCTGGTTAGAACAGAACTGCTGGCCAAGATCAGGCTGGGGGTCTCAGGCCAAAGCCCTGTCCCCAGCCGTCCACTCCAGTAGGTCTGGGGCAGTCTGCCACAGGAAACCTCCTGTTCAGCCACCACACACAGGAGCACAGAGGTGGTTCCTGATTGCCACAGTGTCCGGGAGTTTTGCTGGGATGTCAGAACCTCTGCCAAAGCAGGAATGAGAGTGTCCTGAGTTCAGTTAAACCAGATCCTTTTAATCCCATTAGAAGACTGCTTTTTATTTCATTCATTTTATCAAAGATCTTTTTTTTAGGTTAACAGTTTTTTTTAGCTGTAAGTTAAACCAGCTCTTTAACATGGTTTCTAAGACCCACACTGGGAACCCTGCCTGCCTCTCTAGTCTCTTCCTCACTCCCAAGAACCCTCGCACTCAGGCCAGGCTGATTGATTCCGGCTCCCTACCCGGGTCAGGACCAGCTGCCTCTGAGCCACGCCCTTTGCCCAGCTCCATTTTCTCCCCTATTCCTTCTTTACCTCATCTTCTGTGTCACTTTCTCCTGACACCCCACACCTGGCTTAGATGCCCTTCTGGGTGCTTCACAGTGACTGTACCTATGCAGCCACTGTTACCTACACCTATGTGTGTAACTGACCACACCATTTATTTAAGAACATTACATAGCATTCCTGTGTGCCAGGCACTGTCCTCAAAGCTTCTCAGCTATTCACCCACCAATGGGTCTCCTGGCTGGTCTTCCCCCTAGGCTGAGTGGTTCCCTGGGGAGTGCTTTATCCCCAGCATTTAACACAGTGTCTGGCCCACAGGAGGCATTAATAGACATCTGATGAATGAATGAATCATGGTAACAGAGCATGCTGCAGGGGGGTCACTCTTCTAGCCTAGACTTGAAACCTTAAGATAGGAGATGTGACTCACAAGCAGGGCCTTGGTCCCTGAAGATGGGCTCTAGAAGAGCTAGGATTGACACACGGGCCTTGGAAAGTGTACATTAACTGACCCCTTACTCTGAGGCAGATAGTGGAGACAGCATTTGAATTAATACATTCAATATTCAATATTCAATATTCAGAGCTCTGTGAGACAGGCACTGTCATCGCTACCATTTGATGAGTGAGGAATCCAGCACTGAAAACTTGAGGATGCACCCAAGGGCCAAAGAGAAGTGAAAAGTGGCAGCCCTGCCACCTTAACCCAAAGCCCCATGATGCCCTGAGAACTCAAATCCCAGGCAGTTAACTAATAGAATGATGCCAAAACCATCAAGACCGAGGACTAGAGGGCTGAGACGGGGACAGGTGGGTGGTAAGACCCAAACTTGACTCTTAGGCTCAAATTTCCAGGCAAAGTCAGAAATCCCTGTTGGTCCTAAAAGGGAGCAGCTGACTTCATTGAGAGGGACCAATCTTCCCCAACTTAGCTCCAAGAGAAGTCCACCTCCTGACTCCTGACCTCATGGAGGGCCAATGGTAGCTGCTTGGTCACCAAAGTGACAAGACGTCCATGTGACCACGCTCAGTGCTGCCTAGGGGTTGGGCAGACACTCTACAGAGGACATCTTCTCTGAGTGCACTGGTGGGGAAGGGACCATTGTAATAGACTTTAGGGGTTTTCTGATGGCCTCACCTGGTGATGGAAAAGCTGGAGGATTCTGAAGCAAAGGTACACAGCCTTGCTTTAGTCACTAGTCTTCTTGGAAATCTGGTGACTTCTGTCATTGATGGGCCCACATGGGGCCCATCCACTCACTCACATACCACAGACAACTCAGAACACAATATGACCCTGGTTCTATCAGTTCTTTGAAGTCCCCGCTGAGCTTCATTGTTTCTTTACATTTATTCTTCACTTTAATTCTGCCACTCTAGCCAGGTTGAAAACCTTTCCAGGGATTGGACGAAGCCTTGTATGTCACACACGGTAGGGCTAGGCTGCTAGAGTCCCTGAATGGAACTGACTTCTGGGCTGATGCTGGAAACCCTGACTGGTGTGGGCTGCATGCTCACCAGGGGGCCTTTCCAACACGTCTACCCCACGTGGCCTTTGCTGGACAGAAGACAAGGGTCAGGGAAGGCAGGCATCAGTGTGTGGGGCCGTGTCCTCTAAGGGCCAGCCTCTCCCCCTGCCCCCTCAGACACAGACATTTCTCCTGGGTCCTCCCTCAGGAGTCTGCTCCTGGTGACCACGGCTCTGCATGACCATCACGCAGAAAAAATCTTTATATGAGCCTGAAATGAAACTTGAACAGGGAAAGAAGAAAGGACATAGATCAGAAAGAGTGGAAAGGTGGAAAGAATCAGAGAGACACAAGGACACATGGAGACAGAGGGACACCCACAAATACTCTGCCAGAGAAGCTCAGACTGCTGATGAGCAGGCAGAGAAGGAAAGAGAGAAAGAACGTCTAGTGTCCAAAAAAAGCCTGGCCCTGGCCTCCCCAGCAGCACCAGGCCCCCAGTCCTCCTCAGGTTGCCCAGTGTCCTTCATCAGTCTGCCCAGCAAATGCATCCTCCTGAATGCTCCACTCTTTCTGCCTCTCAGGGGTCCCTGGCTCAGCTCAGCTCCCACTCTCACCCCCACAGTCTCGGGCTCCTTAGACCCCTCCCTCCATACTCTCTCCTGGGTCCACCCCAAGAGAGGAGGCTGCTCCTAGTCCCTGACCCCAAACAGGCACCCTGGGCCTCAGGGACGGAGTGAAATCCAAGGTCAGAGACTGAGTGAGTGCCCTCCCTGGGGCTGCAGCTCAGATTGCTGCCGGTACCAAACCCTAAGAGTGGGCCACGCTGTGCACTCCATCAGCCATCTCCCATCTCAGTAATTCCTGCTAGCCATCCAGACGGCCACTTGGCGGCAGCCTTTTCCCTCCTCGGGGAGGGAAATCCTCCAAGCTGCCCTCCTGTGCTCAGCATCTCGGCCTTGCATTCTAAGCACCCTTGGTGAGAACCTGTCAGAACCATACTTATATCAGCGCCACCACCCCCCCCCCCCGCCCGCCTCCTGCCAAGATCATCACCTCCTGCACTGTAGACCCCTGAAAGCCCCCAGGGATGATTTCCCCTGGCTCTGCAAGGTAGCTGGAGGATGGATTGCTGGTCTATGAACACAGCCAGAGGCCTTCTGACTGCTCCTGCTTCAGGTCTGTCAGAGACACAAGAGGAAGCCACACCACATTTTCTTTACTGAAATTCTCTAGGTTCTCTCATGCAAACATGAATTGGCAGCTTAGTATCCAGAAAACAGTCTCTCAAAACCAGGGGATAGTTCAAGGGGGTTGAGCAGGGGCTGACTGAACCAAGGCTGGTGTCCCAGGGGGCACACAGGGACCCTCTGACTGGTAGATTCACATGGCTGTAGTAGGCACATGCATGCATACGTGCTAAGTCACTTCAGTCGTATCTAACTCCTTGCAACCCCATGGCCTGTAGCCTGCCAGGCTCCTCTGTCCTTGAGATTCTCCAGGCCAGAACACTGGAGTGGGTTGCCACGCCCTCCTCCAGGGGATCTTCCTGACCAGGGATTGAACCCCATCTCTTATGTCTCTTGCATTGGCAGGCACAGTGCTGCCCAAATCTGGCTTGACAGTCAACACTGCACTAGGACTGTCTACACAGCCAGGTGCCGAGTACAGGAGCCAAGGTCCTGGGGCGCAGCTTTTGCTGGTGTGCAGAGTCAGACGTGACTTAGCGACTAAACAGCAGCATCAGCAGAGCAGAGAGTAGGGGCGCTGCCACTAGATGGGCCTATGAGGCTCCAGGGCCTCTACCTACACTGTCCCCATGCACGCTCAGGTCCAGCCCTGCACCCCGGCACTCTCACCAAACCACTCACCACTCACCTGAGGCTACGCCTGCCCAGAAGATGGTGCCTTTTTCTAAGATGTACGAAGACACCATTGCAGCTCTGAGTCTAGAGTGGCTCTTCCTCCCAGGCCCCCTTTGGACAGGCAGCTGACAGAGACCTGATACCCCAGCCCTCCCTGCAAAACAGCCAGTGTCCCGCCCCTTCTCTGCAGCCCTTCCCCCTACAGAGCACAATCCTCTCTCTGCAAGTGGTTTCCCAACAGGAAGGAATCTCCTGCAAGAGTAAATAGTCCTGAGGCCTGGAGGCTCCCTGGCTCCCCCTCCTCCAGGACCGGGAGGTTAGCTCAGAGGAAGAAAGGCAAGGCTGCTCCGGGGAGTGAGTGGAAGGTGGCCTGCTCCATCTCAACTGGAATCTGACCCCTGAGAGCCCATCCCCATCATCCAGACCTCCCGAGCTGCCCACACCTGTTGGGTCCACCCTTCCTGGGAGCTGGCCCTCTTCACCACCCTTATTTGGGCAGAATCAGGCTGTGTGTTTCCAGTTGTGGGGCAGTGGGCGTGCGTGCACGCAGATGTCGTTCTATAAGTATCTGGACTAAAAATAGGGAGAGGCTGCCCTAAGTGTTTGTCAATTGATGCCTGGCCATTTTCATCTTGAAACTTAAATATTACAGAATGGCTCCTAACTTTAGATCACATAAATTCCAATGTTCTCAGCTCAAGGAAGGGGTCTCATAACTAGAAAAGACATCTATCCTCTCCTAACAGAGTACACACATAGGGATGAAGTACCTTTGGTGTACTCCTCATGGCCCTGGTGACCAGGGGGATCCAAGTGCTCTTGGACAAAAGACCCTGGCCCCCCATGAAGGAGCTTGAACAGTGATGGACAGACAAGACTGACACCGAAGAAAAGATGAGAGTGCTGCCGGAGATGTTCAGCATCTTCCTGCAAACCTGCGTCCCCAGGAGCTGGAGGAAGTCTGAACAGGAGTGTGTGGGGTGAACACTTGCCATGTGACCCCCCACATTTCCTGGCCCTTTGGCTGCAGGCAGCACCTTGGCTTTCTTTTGGGGAAACACCTGCCTGTGATTCCCTTGAGGCTGGTCCCAGGATGGACATGTGAACCATCCTGATTAGTCAGATATGACATCTTCCAGTCAGCA